ACATTTAATTGCTTTTATTGTTTTCTTTTGTTCCTTTCTATCCCTTTTATTGTTTGTCTTCAGTGTTCGTTGGTTTTTTGAGGTGGTATGATATAGTTTCTTTCTCATTCTCATTTGCATATCTGCTCTAACAGTGATGTTTATTCTTTCTTGTGTATTCATGGTGGTGGTTATTGTTTTTGGGTTCCAGGTGCAGGACTCCCTTAAGGAGTTCTTATAGAGCTGTCCATGGGATGGTGCACTCCTGCAGCTTTTGTTTGTCTGAGAAATACAGTATTTTTCCTTCATTTTTGAAGGATAACCTTGTCAGATATAATATTCTTGGCTGGAATTTTTTGTCTTTTAGGAATTTCAATATATATCCAATTCTCTTCTGGCCTGTTTCTGCTGAGAAGTCTGCTGTTAGTCTGCTGGGCACTCCCTTACAGTTGACTTGACAATTTTCTCTTGCTGTTTTTAGGATTCTCTCTTTCTTTGACTTTTTACAGTTTGTCTGCAATATATCTTGGTGACAACCTTTTTGGATTGAATCTCTTTGGGATCTTTGAGCCTCTTGGATCTGGAAGTCCATACCTCTACCAATACATGGGAAGTTTTCCACTTGGAATATGTTTTCTGTGCCTTTTCCTTTCTCCTTTCCTTCTGGAACACCTATGATTCAGATGTTTGTTTGCTTAAGTTGGTCTGCTAGCTCCCTTAGATTTTCTTCATTTTTTTTCCTATTTTTTTTTTGTTGGGTTATTTCAAAAAGACTGTCTTCAAGATCAGAAATTTTTCCTTCCACTTGCTCCAGCCTGCTGTTTATGCTCTCAATTGTAGTTTTTTTTTTTTTTGTCCTTTTTGAGACTGGCCGCACTGCGCTCAGCCAGTGAGCACTGTGAGCGCACCGGTCGTCCTATATAGGATCCGAACAGGCGGCGGGAGCGCTGCTGCGCTCCCAGCGCCACACTCTCCTGAGTGCGCCATGGGCTCGGCCCTCAATTGTAGTTTTTATTGAATGAGTCTTTCAGTTCCAGGAGTTCTGCTACGTTCTTTTTTAATGATACTTTTCTTTGTAAATTTCATGTCCTGTATTGATTTTTCTCATTTTATTGTTTTGTCTACTGAATCTTCTTGTATCTCACTGACTTTAAGATTGTTAATTGGAGTACTTTATCAGATATATCAAGGGTTTCCTGTTGTATAGGGTCTAGTATTTGAGAATTATATTGTTCCTTTGGTGTATCATATTTTCTTATTTTTTCATATTTCTTATATCTCTTCATTGATGTCTAGTCGTTGGGTGGTTGCTTCTTCTATTACTCTGGGGTTGTTTTTGAGGAGAGAGACTCCGTCTTATACATTTGTTATATATTTCCCATTGTGAGGGATGTTTTAGTTTTGGCTCTGGATAGACTCAGTAGTTCTGGATAGACTCAGTATTTCCAGGGGATGCCAGCAGCTATGTCTGCAGCTAGGGATGGCTGGGCCTGTGTGTGTGGGGGGAGCCATACAGATGGTTGGGTCAGCTGGGGAGTGGTTAGCATCATCTGGGTTCCCAGGGCTGCATGGGCAGTTGGAAATCTGGAGCCATGCAGGCAGTACAAGGCTGGCGTCATTCAGGTGCCTGGTGCTATACTGGCAACATAGGTCACGCAGTGGCGTGTGTTGTGCAGGATGAACTCCTGTGCAGAGAGAAGGGGCATGGTTCTGGGACTAGACAATGGTACAGGAGACTGTGGTGGTGGTTGGGGCAGGTTGGGGCAGGAACAGGAGGAAGTGCTCATGGCCAAGCAGATTCTTTTCCCAACAAAGGAGAATTCCTCCTGGCTGCTCCCAGTTTGTGAGATGTGGCAGTAGCTGAAACCACATGCCTCTTCTCTATACCACCCTGCTTAGTTTTTGTGCTTCACAAGTTCGTCACTGGGCTCCTCCTGCCATCCCACACTCTCCCACTGATGCTCTCCCCCATTCTTAGCTGTCCTTTCCTTGCTCTGGTCCCTTTCTGTGGCAGGATCATACACTAGGCACTTCTAGTCTGCCATCTTGCCCTTCCTCCAGGACTCATTATTCACAGAGAAAGTTTAGTAAACTTGTATGTATAATTAAAGAAATATTAGTATGCTTCCATTTGGAAGTTTATAATTATGCATGTATTCATTCAACAAATCGTTTTGCATGTCTACTCTCTGTAGTAGAGCCTGCTAACTTTTAAGTAAACAAGATAAATAAGACCTAGTCCCTGCCTAGAACTCACATTTTAGTAAGGAAGAAACACTAATACACACAATACAGTTTGGTTATGCCACATATGTTTCATTAGTCATTTAACACTTATTTATTAAGTAACTGCTCTGTACCAAGCATGGCGCTGGGTTCTAGGCACAACTATGATGTGTGCTGTGAAGTTCTAAACCAGAGTGCAGTAAAGGAGCTCTGACATAGTTAGGGAGTTATGTGAGAGTTTCCCTGAGGAAGTGATGTGGAAACTGAAATATGAAACATGAGTAGGAGTTTACTGGTGAAGATGGTAGGTAAGAGCCATTCAGGCAGAAAAAATATCATGAGCTGAGGTCATGTGGTGGGGAAAAGTGTGAATAGTCAAGATAGTGAAATAATACCATGTGCAGCTGGAGCACAAAGAGATGGATGGGGAATAAGGGACAGATTAGCTGAAAAGTGATGTTCAGAATTATGGTACTTATCTTAAGTACCACAGGGGAGGTTGGGGGTGAGGAGACTGTAGCTGGTGATAATATGACCAGATTGGCACTTTGAAAAGATCATTCTAGCTGCTTTGGAGAAAATAGAAGTCTCAAAGAAGGAAAAAAAATAATCCAAAAAACAAAAAACAAAGTATATGTCTATATGGATGAGAGAGGTAACTGGTAAAGGTAGACCTGTTGTCAGGCTGTTGCAAATATGCAATTTTTCATTCTTTAGAGTCCTTGGAATTCTCCTTAAAGAAAAAAGGTTTTTATTTATTTATTTATTTATTTATTTTTTTGTCTTTTTTCGTGTCCGGCAACGGATCGCAACCCTCAGTGTCGCGCCCGTACCGGACCGGGACCGGCAACGGGATCGCAACCCTCAGCGTCGCTCCCGCACCTCGCTCAGCCAGTGAGCGGGAACCGGTCTGTATGTGGGATCCGAACCCTCGGCGGGAGCGCGCACTCGCAAGCGGCGCACTGTAGCAGTGCACCACCGGGCCGGCCCATTTTTTATTTTTTAAAAGATGACCGGTAAGGGGATCTTAACCCTTGACTTGGTGTTGTCAGCACCACGTTCACCCAGTGAGCAAACCGGCCATCCCTATGTGGGATCTGAACCCGTGGCCTTGGTGTTATCAGCACCGCACTCTCCCGAGTGAGCCATGGGCCGGCCCAAGAAAAAAGTTTTTGATTAGATTAAAAGTCATGGCATATCTATAGAGTTAACTTACTTATTTGATATCATTTAGTAATTTCATAACAGAGTGAGAGCAGAAATTATCCCAGATTCTCAAATTCCTGACTAAAACTGCATGTCTCTTTTGACTTGTGCTAGATTACCTAAATGGAATAAGTTGTTTCACTTGAATATATGTATGCTTGGATTTTTTTTCCAAATATGTATTTTAAAGAATGGTACCATTCATAAATACCAAATGGTTAGTTTTAAAATATATTGTTCTAATTAAAGCTTAACTTGATCTAATTTTATATCACTGTTAAATATATAATAAATACATTTAAAGATGTTAGAAACAAAAACAAGGATATTGGCACTGTTAGTGTGCTTTCTTTAGGTTTTTTTTTTTTGTGTTTGCATATGTAATTTTCAAACCAGTCAATATTAGCCTGTTTTGTACTGAGATTGTTTAGCTTGTTGGCTTAATCTGGATTTGACAGATGGAGTTGGTAATTATTTCCCTTCTCATAATAGTAACATAACTTTTTTACAGGATTCTCCTGAAAGTGCACTTGAAATATGGTAACTGTATGAACCTCTAGTTGTGAAAGCCAAGTGGTTGATGTATTCCACAGCCTAGTCTTAGAATTTAGGCCCTACTTCTGTGCATACTCTATACTGTGGTTCCATTTTAGTTCTTATCTATCTCACTTGGGGACATTATCTGCTCATCTATAAAAGAGTTTCATAAGTTTAGAAAAAGGTCTTCTTTTGAAACAATCAGATTTTCTTTAATAGATATTTAAATATCTTTCTAATGCTTTCTTCATTTTTATTGAGAATTGATAAGTACAAAAGGGTTAACATTTGGGATTAATCAAAAGTAAATATTTTATAACTAATAGTATCCTTAAATTATGAGTCAGATAGGCAGCCTAATTTGTAGCAAATACAAAAATATCAGGATGTACATTGTAGCTTTAAAACCATGCATATATAGTTCATGTAACAAAATATCTGTTGACTCAGGCTTTCACATGGTTTTCTCAGAAAAGTAGTTAAACTCTAAAAAACAGTGTTATAAAAGGCAATCAAAAACTGTTCCATATGGGTGACCCAGAGGACTCAAAATATCATCTTTAAAGATGCAATTTAAATGGCACTTGGCCGTAAACCATTCCTTACCCTCTGCCCTCTTCTCTGAGACAGAGTTAATGACATGCTACCTTGCTTTATATGTCTTTAAGGTACCTATCACATTGTTTTGTAATTAATAGCCTGTCTGTAAATTCCTTGGGGGCAGCCCCTGTACTAATTTATATTAATATCTCCAGTGCCTAGCACATAGTGTATACTCAAATAAATGTTTGGTGTACTAATAATATGTAAATCAGTACATATTAGGGCAGAGATTTTTGTCTTTTTTTCACCTGATGTATCCTAGTGTCTAGAATAGTGTCTAGCACACAGTAGATGCTTAATAGACATTTGTTGCACAACTCAATCAATGAATGAATAAATGAAGGAATGGAGGGAATTTAAAACTTTGTGGTAAAGATCACTAGCATAGAGAAAGAAAATTTATAGATGTTTGAACAGAAATTGTTTTTCATATTGTCTCTAATTTACAGAATGATCAGGTCTCGGCCTCTGGATTATACCTTTGTTCCTCGAACATGGATCTTTCCTGCTGAATATTCTCAATTCCAGAACTATGTGAAAGAATTGAAGAAAAAACGGAAACAGAAAACTTTTATAGTAAAACCAGCTAATGGTGCAATGGGTCATGGGTAGGTTTATTTTTACCTGAATATATAAAACTAAAAAAAAATTGGGGGAAAATAATAAATGTGTGTAATTAATCAGAGTTGAATACCAGTATGAAAAAACAATAAAATAGGTTTCTAACTATTGCTTGTTTGGAACCAGATACTTAACGGGCCTTATTCTTTTAACCTATCCCCTAGGCTTCAGTAATTCATTTTAAAAATTAAATCAGCAAGGTGTGAGATCTAATTGGATATAACAAAATAGAGGGAAGAAAAGCTATTTTCTAATTTTTTCTTGAACATAAAACTCACATTTATAATAATGTGAATAGGCTTAGAGAGTAAAATCAGTTGCTACAGTAGAGCTAAATTGAGTTGGAGAAAGAAATGGAAAGTGAGTTACTCTTTTGAAGAGATATCTTCAAGCAAAACATGTGTCATCTTTGCCTTGTAAATAAGTTTTTCTTCTGTATGTAGCCATGGTAATTGGATTGAAAATGAGTAGAACACATTTTAAGCTAAAGTGCCAAGAACTAGACATGTTAGCTGAAAATAGAATGTGCAACTTAATATTCCTGTTTCCTTTTGCTTACTTAGGTTCAGCTAGTGTTCTCCAATGTACTTTTCAAAGAAAATGTGACTGATGCTGCTTTTAATAAAATATACTTTAGTTACTTTAATTTTTTTGATTTAAAATGCTATGGGAAAAAAAGATTTGGAAATGTAGCTATCAGGTAAATTACTGTTCACAAATTTTTCATTTAAATTTTAATCATAATGTAATAATTGGATCGCATTATTTAAACGTGTGGTTTGGTTATTTTAAAATAAAGAAGTAGTGATAGTGAGAATCGTATATCAATTGCTTAATGTTAAGTTGGCCCCCTATATTATTAGTATTGAAGGATCTCCTTAAACACTTCGAACAAAACAAAACAAACAACAACAAAAAACCTCCAATCTTTGCATAAGGATTGTGATATTTGTTGCAGCATGCCTTCAACATTCAGGCAGTTTACAACTCTGACTTAGCCTTCTCTTCCTGCTTGTACAGAGTCTGGTGGTTTGCTCGAGGTTAGAGCTTAGGGTCTTTTTAGGTCTTTCCTAAGCATGTGTCTGGGCCTAGGCATGCACATGGCCTTCTAGGTCCTAGGAATATATCACAGCTTTTCAAAGTCCCAAAGATTCCCATCACTACTGACTAATTTTCTCTTGAGTATATTTATACCTTTTTAAACATCTTGCCTTCATATTAAATGATTATTTTCCTTTTTCTTTTTAAACTTAGGATTTCTTTGATAAGAAATGGTGACAAACTTCCATCTCAGGATCATCTGATTGTTCAAGAATACATTGAAAAGCCTTTCCTAATGGAAGGTTACAAGTTTGATTTACGAATTTATATTCTGGTAACATCGTGTGATCCACTAAAAATATTTCTTTATCACGATGGACTTGTGAGAATGGGAACAGAGAAGTACATTCCACCTAATGAATCCAATTTGGTAAGTGATGCCAGACAGAATTTATGTTTTCATTCATTTGTTCAACATGTACTTTTTAAAGCACCCATTATGTATAAAGATTGTATGAATTGAAGTTCTTCCTCTCAGGTTTTTATGGTCTAAAAGAATTGTATGCATAAATAAGACTGCCCGTAACTTACAGGCAGCTTTGTGAAAATTAGAAAAAAAGGTGTCTGCCCTAGTCATGCTAATTATGAAGAGATACCCCCTCTGAGTGCTGTGAGCACAAGACTGGATTTCAAAGCACACATTTGTATGCAGTGGCCCTGTATAGAAATGACTATAATAAAAATAATATTCCACTGAAAAGTACAGATAAAGTGTTGTGTTGCTGAGTGCAGGGACAGTTTGTGTTCAGCTCATCATAGAAGAGGTGGCATTTGAGCAGTTTTTCTATAAAATGTAGGATTTGAACATGTGAAATTTGGGAGAAAGTATATAAAACAAAAAAACCCAGAAGTTATCAGACAGCAGAGTTATTAATTTTTGTTGAAACAAAAGAGAAGTAAGATTGTAAATTTGCATTGATCAAATGTGTCAGTGGACATTTAGGTTGGTTACATACCGTGGCTATTTTAAGTAGACCTGCAATAAACAGGGAATGCAGGTATTCCTTCAACATGATTTCCATTCCTTTGGGTATATACCCAGAAGTGGGAATGCTGGAGCGTATGGCAGTTCTATATGTAGTTGTTTGAGGAACCTCCATACTGTTTTCCATAATGGCTGTACTAATTTACAGTCCTACCAACAGTGTATGAGGGTTCCTTTTTCTCCATATCCTCACCAGCGTTTGTTATTCCCTCTTTGATAATAGCCAGTCTAACTGCGGTGAGATGATATCTCAGTGTGGTTTTTATTTGCATTTCCCCAATGTTGAGCATTTTTCATGTGTCTGTTGACCTTTTGTATATTTTCATATGAGAAATGTCTATTCAGCTCCTTTGCCCAGTTTTTAATTGGATTACTTGCTTTCTTACTGTTGAGTTGTTTGAGTTCTTTGTATATTCTGGATATTAATCCCTTGTGAGATGCATAGTTTGCATATATTTTCTCCCATTGTGTAACCTAAATGTCCATTGATAGATGACTGGATAAGGAATATGTGGTATATATACTTAATGGAATACTACTCCATCATAAAAAAAGAATAAAATTCTGCCATTCGCAGTAACTGGATAAACTTAGAGAAATAAATGTTAAGTGAAATAAGCCAGGCACAAAAGGAGAAATACCACATTTCCTCACACATAAGTGGGTGCTAAAATAGAGAAAGAAAGAATCGCAATAATAAATTAAACTTTCAATCCCCACCCCCACCCCAAAACAGAACTGTGGTTATTAGAGGTGGGAAAGGGAGAGGGGGATGGGGGTTAGCGAGAAACTGGTTAAGGGTCACAAAGATCGATTATGTTTTGTAAACATGAGTATACTAATTATCCTGATTGATCACCACATATTGTACACATGTATTAATGTTCAATATTGTACCCCACAAAAGTATATAATCAATTACCTTTCAGTAAAAAACCTGTCAAAAAATGTGAAGTTGAGGGCCGGCCCGGTGGCGCACTTCTACAGTGCGCCGCTTGAGAGCGCGGCGGCCCTCCCGCCGAGGGTTCAGATCCCACATACAGACTGGCCGCTCACCGGCCGGGCGAGGGGCGGGTGCGACACCGAGGGTTGCGATCCCGTTGCCGGTCCCGGTCCGGGCGCGACACTGAGGGTTGCGATCCATTGCCGGTCACGAAAAAAGACAAAAAAGGAAAAAAAAAATGTGAAGTTGAGACATAAATTAGCAGTTTCAATGTGCATTTTACAATCCATTAAATCTAGCTTTTTGTAGATACTTTTCCATTAATATTTCCTTTGTGCAGCCATAACATATTCATGAAAGTCATAACTGAAATTCATCATGAAAATTATAAACTGTAATTTATAGTTTATAAAAGTCAAATTCTAATTTATTATACATACTTAAAAATTTAGTTAACCTCTAATCATATATTTGGATCTAATAATTATCATAAAAATTACAATTATCGTTTCCCAGTCTGTCAAAGTCCTAATTATTGTTCTCCCCCAATATTATGCACACAACTCCATTAAGAGTGGTCATATCTTCAGAATTAAATAATGGCTGATCATAAACGTTGCGATGTTCAATAAACTGAAAAATGTTGTAAACCTAACAAAGGAAGAATAAAGGAACTGTCAAACTTTTCATAGGAAAGGAAGTTAAAAGAAAGAAGCATTTCATTAAAGGTCATAAGGTGTGGATAATAGATCCATTCACGAAGTAATGTTTGAATTATACTGCACTCTAGGCATTGTGCTGGTTTTGGAAAAACAGTGACCAAGACAGATACAGTGCTTAATCTCAAAGAAGCAACAGTCTAGTGGGGAGGCAGAAAATAAAATAAGCAATTACAGTACCTGATGGTAAGTATGATGGTCTGAGATGCTAAGGGTGCTACGGCATCGCATAGCAGGAGCACCTAACCCAGTTGGAGATAAAGGTTGGAGAGGGAATTTGTTCACAAACTGAAATCTGATTAATGAAGAGTTCCCCAGGTTGGAGGTGAGGTGTGGTGGCATGGAGCTCCAGGCAGAAGAATGGCTCAGAGGTAAGAGAGAGTATGGTATGTCTGGAGAAAGCTGGCAAGTTCAGTTTAGCTTTAAAGTACAGACTAAGAAGGAACAGCTGTTCAGAGATGAGGAGGGAAAGTCCTAGAAGCCAGAGCTTTTAAGACATTGTAGGTCATGTCTAGGATTTTGGAATTTAACTTAAGATGAAAGAAAGCATTGAAAAGTTTTTTAGAAAAGAAAGAAATAATGAGATTTGTGTTTTAAAAAGGCCACCTGATCTGTAATGTGCCCCATGTGAGATGGGGGTAGAGATGGATGGGAAAGACTAGAGAAAGGGAGACAAGAAACTGTATTCTAGTTTGACCACATATGAGAGGAAAGAAGACTTAAATTGAAATAATAGCAGTGAGGCTGGACTAAGAAAAAAACATTGATGTAATATGGCGACAGGTTGGACTTGTGTAATAAGGGAAAGGAGAGGGAAATCAAGTATAAAACTCAGATTTTTGGTGTGGGCAGTAGAGTGGATGGCATGTTTCTTGCTGTGATAAGGAAATACAGAAGGTATTAAGGTTTTGTGGAAAGCTAATGTGTTTGGTTTAAATGCTTGTGCTACCTCCAAATGGATCTCTTCTATAGGCATTTGGATAAACAGTATAAGCCTGGTATTCAGAAGAGAGATCTCAGCTACAGGCATAATTTAGGACTTGTCAGCTCATAGATTATAATTAAAATAATTGGAGTCAGTAAGAATAGATTATATATGTAAGGCAGTAGTGATCTTTTAATAGTAATGAAAAGAGTAAGGCTTGGGAGATTTTTTTGATGATAAAGTACTTTATTCTAATATGCTAAGTTATGTGTATATAATTTGCTTAAATACACTGGGTTAGGAAATCATAATGAGAAATTGGAAGAAACAAAATGTGGCCTCTAGTCTCACTTTGCCAAATGCTCTTGAATCATGCATGTAAGCTCCTGGCTTTGGATTTCACATGTATAGAAAAAGGTTCTCTCACATAAATGTCAGTATCTTCATATATCTCTATAATTTCCTAACTGAATTCCTAGATTGAGATATGAAAAAGTAAAAAAGGGAAATACAAAATTTTATGCAAAGTGAGACCACAATTATGTACAAGGTTAGTTTAAGAAAAAAGAGTGGAAAAAAATAAACCGAAATGCTCTCACTGATTACTTTTGTTTGTTTGTTTGTTTTTGACCTCTGGCAAGTATATGGATCAAACCCTGGACCTTACTGTTATCAGTACCATGCTCTAACCAACTGAGCTATCTGGCTAGCCCTCATTGGTTACTTTTGGGTGGAGGATGCTGCATATTTTTTTCCTTTTTCTTGTTTTCAGTTTTAAAAATAGTGAACATGTATTTTGTAATAAGCTGTGTATTTCTGTAGGAATGAAATATTCGTAAACTACATATAAGGTGATTATAAGACAAAGAATTTCAAACATTGAATATAGATTGAGTATTCCTTATGAGTATATGAAATATACTCATATAATATCACCTTATATGAAATATTCATATAAGGTGATTATAAGACAAAGAATTTCAAACATTGAATATAGATTGAGTATTCCTTATCTGAGTATCCCTTATGCTTGGGACAGGAAGTGTTTTGGATTTTTTAAGATTTTGAAATATTTGCAGAATACGTACCCGGTTGAACATCCCTAATTCCCAAATCCAAAATCTGAAATGCTCCAGTGAGCATTTTCTTTGAGTGTCATGTTAGTACTCGAAAAGTTTTGGATTCTGGGTTTTTGAATTAGGAATGCTCAATCTGTGTAAACATTTATTTTTTGCTACCAATGTAGTGGTCAGCCAATCCTTGAAAAGTTTTATCTATACGAATTCATTATATTGAGCCTATATGTTGGAAAACAGGGTAGGTTATGGTTATGTTTTTTACCCCTTGCAGGTTGCTATATGCTTGATAGCTGCTTTCACTGGCAGTGAACTGATTAGAAGGGGCTTTTTGTCAAGGTGGATGTGAAACTGTGGAATTTCCAGCTTCTCTTACAAAGATGATGTTTTAAGAATAATGAAAAGTTTCATTACTTACTCACTTTTTCACTAAAATAGCTAGTGTTTTTTATTTCTACTACAGGTTGAGCATTCCTAATCCAAAATGCTTCCAAATCCAAAACTTTTTGAGTACTGACATGACATCATCACAAGCGGAAAATTCCACACCTGACCTCATGTGACAGTTTGCAGTCAAAACTTTCATTCACAGAGCTATTAAACATATTATATAAAATTACCTTCAGGCTATGTCTATAAAGTGTATATGAAATGTAAATGAATTTTGTGTCTAGACTTGGGTCCCATCCCCAAGATATCTCATTATATACATGTATATATTTATTTATGTAAAGGGGTGTTCTTTAAAGATTTTTTAAAGATTAGTAAACAAAAAGAAGTCAGAAGGAACCAAATCAGGACTGTAAGGTGGATGTATAATTTCCCTTTGAAACTCTCACAAAATTGCCCTTGTTTGATGAGAGGAATGAGCCAGGAGCATTGTCGTGGTGCAGGACTCTCTGGTGAAGTTTTCCTGGGTTTTTTCTGCTGTAGCTTTAGCTAAAACTGTCTCTGAACACTCTCACAGTGAGCAGATGTTATCGTTTTTTTGGCCCTTCAGAAAGTTAACAAGCAAAATGCCTTGAGCATCCCCAAAAACATGTTTGATCTTTGCTCTTCACCAGTCTTTTGCTTTGACTGGACCACTTCCACTTCTTGGTAGCCGTGGCTTTGATTGTACTTTGTCTTCAGGATTTTACTGATAAAGCCATGTTTCATTCCCTGTTACAATTCATTAAAACTCTTCTCTTGTCTACAGCTGATCTGGGCTCAACAGTTTTGTTACCCACTAAGCAGGAAGTTTGCTCAACTGTAATTTTTCAGTCATAATTGCGTAAGATGAACCAATTGGAATGTCTATGGTGTTGGTTATTGTTTCTGTTGTTAATTGTTGGTCCTCTTCAATTAGGGCACAAACAAGATTAATTTTTTCCTTGCAAATTGATGTGGATGTTCTGCTGCCATGGGCTTCATCTTTGATATCATCTGGTTCCTTCTTAAAGCAAGTTATCCATTTGTATACTGCTCATTTCTTTGGGGCATTGTCTCCATAAACTTTTCATAAAACATGGTCATATCATCATTCTTCTACCATAAATTTGATATTTGTTCTTGCTTCAATGTTAGCAGAGTTCATGTTGCTCTGGTAGGGACTCTTTTCAAACAGATATCTTATCTTTCTTAGTTCCTCAAACTAGATCTTGTACAGACATGTTATAACAAGTCA